TGCGTTCTAGTAAGTAATCAACTCAATTGTACTTCTCAAGAATTTTGAAAACTGGAAATGACAGAGGGCTGCATTGCAATTTTTGCATTTTAAGAAGAAATTATTCAAACTTTAAAATTAAAATTAGCAAATGCAAAATAAATTACCGAAATGTAATTGCTCTGAGGCTGACAAATCACACCAACTGGATCTTTACCTTCCGGAATTGGTCAATCATTATTACCTTCGAATAAACTATATCCCAATTAATCGAACTTTCCAGTAGAAAGATGGCACCAGTATTCCATCATTATTTATTTATTTATTTCAAATGGCAGGCATTTTGATAGTTATCATTAGCCCTTTAGCTGACTTCGGGCTTCACAGAAGGGAGGAACATTAAAGTGAGAAGAATTCGACAGGGGAAAAGAAGAGCGATTCACAGACGTGAAAGAGACAGACAGACACAAAGGCAGAGAAAAGGTAAGGGGAAGTGGTGGAATATGGCATACAGTGGGTTAATGGTAGTTTGAAGTCAGAAATCAACTGCCCATTGATAGACTTTTTTGCCGTATAAGTATACGTTGCCCAGGGTGCACCAAGTGGAGGTAAGTCTATCGCACACCCCATTCCATCATTATATAGGTGGATAGAAGGATATGAAAGAAATACCTCGAGTTGATAATGATTTATTATGGATGCACTGGCTCGTTCTCACGCTTGTGTACGTTATAATGTACTCTTAAATTTATTTCTATACTTAATTAGGTATGTTCTTAAAAGAAATAACACACAATTGGGAATAATCGTCCTGGTCGTAGCAAGTTATTCAGACCCGATGTTGTACAAGAGAGGCTGCGTTTGTATATTGATCTTGGAGAGGTGATCGTAGCTTGAATACCCGACAGGGTGCGAGGTTACAAAGCACGTTGAAATCATTGAAAATCAATTTACGCAGAGATAGCCTTCTGAATATAGCTATTGCTTGTACGAACAACAGATAATTACAGTTCCCAAAAGCAGAATGCCAATGATTGAGAATGGGCAGAAGTATATTGGGCAAAAGTAATCAACATTTGTAGAGAAGAAACGAGAGGAAATGGAAAAATGAGGACTGAGATATTGAATTTGAACTAGTCTACAGCTGTGTGTCCTGTTAATGCATTCCGTGTATGTAAGCGCTGGGAGTTGGAAATGATTTCCCATGCAAATTGCTTGAATCAACACGCTGCTCGAAATTAAAAACGTGTGAATAGGCATTTCGGGAGTAATCTTCCAGTTCCATTCCTACCAGTTTCAAGAAAATTGACCTTAAGCACTCTTGGTTGGTGCCTCTCATACTGCCGTCCACTTTCACTGCATTACTTGCAACTGTTTCAACTATGACCTTTCAACTGACGTACAGACAATCTCCTTACCGGTAGTACAATGCTAATACATTCTCTTATGTGGGAACATCTGTCAGTCGTGTTAGTAAGTAAGTGAGAGCGACAGTAGATCTGTCGGAACTCTATTAGTGAAATAGTGGAAAAGTCACTTGATCAACCACTCCTTACTGCGCATTTTTCCAAAGACACTTCAACTTCAAGCATGCATACCTTATAAGCCAATGAGGGCATTCATCTGACTCACCAATCAGGCACACTTGTTACTTTTTCTACACACTCTCACTTGCTTGTTTACTTCTCTCCCCCCCCCCCCCCCCACCCCCCACCCCCTCCTCACTACTTAAGTGATTTTCTTTTGACACAGGCAAGCTTTTCCTTTGGCAGTACTTAAACCAGTTGTCAAGGTATTATGGGAGTGGTGGAAGGAAGAGTGAATTTACGTTCTTTTGGCCGAGTATGGTGATGAACAGCGTAGGGAGTTTCTAGATGAGAGTGTGGTATTCGCCCCCCCCCCCCTGCGTTCGAAACACAGTGGCCTGAACATGATGGACTTCTTCTCTTTGCTTACCTCAATTCGATAAAATTGATACGGTGATAAGCTATTTGAATGCCAATCGTAGTGAGAGAACATTTAACGAGAGAACCCTGTTTTGATTATAGAACGCCAACGAACTAGCATACCACTAATTCCCAGTATTTTGGGGTATATGTTAGTAGAAAGAGAATGATCATATCTACTCACGCAGCCAGTGCTGTTAGATATTTTTTTAGATAACAAATGCAGAATTAGTTGTGGAGAAAATCCCCTGAGCTACTAGCAACTGCTCATTAATTGGTTTATTCAATAAAGGAAATAATGGGTTTGGGAAGAATGAATGTTGGGATTGACAGTTGCACGCGAATGCTGCACAAGCACTGCAACTGCACATGTCTAGTTCCTTAATTGCTAAAGGATGATTGAAGTAATCATTGATCAGTATTTCATCTCCCACTTCCTATTCCAAGGCTCCTAACCTTTCTATTGGCCCTTTCAATAAACGCCATTTTTGTGTAACTTTCTGGTCACGTAGCAATTTATCTTAGGGAGAGTAATAGGTTTCAATAATCTTTGGTTATTAGAGATTAGCTAGTTTATTACCCATGAGTGCTTCAGATCTTTCGATTGGTTGATTCGAGATGACTTGAAGATCTATTATCTTGAATCGGATTAATTGTGGCTAGCTTATAATCAGTGGGGAGGGAGGGGGCATACTGTTGACTTTCCTGCTTAAAATGACTTCCCACTCAATGTGCTTGGATGTATTAATAAATGCAATTTCATAGGAAGGAAACGGGACTTGCGATAATTATTAAGTGCCAATCCTTTGATCAAGGGGATTATCTCCCTTCGGATCAGCTCTCCTACTTTCTCTCTCCTTACTATTGTAGCAATGGGGTTAGAATTAAGTGAGAAAGTGCGTTTTTTTATTGCTCACTTCTCGGGCTCTCTGCATTGGATAGTTCGAATAATTTGATTCCAGCGGTTAAGGCAATAACCCCTATTTCAAAAATCGATACGTGCTTAATTACTTGATTAGCAGTTGCCAAAGGAGCTGTCCGTGATTAAATATCCTTTTTCATTAGGCAATTCTTCATAATTGAATTCTTCAGTTGAATGATCTGGAAAATCGTAAATAGACTTATTTATGGTTTATTAACCATCTTGGGAACTACAAAGGCGTGAAATTCAATCCCTGGGGGGTGTGTTTAAATAATTTGTTTATTTCAAATGACAGGCGTTTTGATAGCTATCATTAGCCATTTAGCTGACCTCGGGCTTCACAGAGAGAAGGAGGAGCATCGAAGTGACAAAAAGTCGAAAGGAGAGGGGGCAGAATAATGATTCACCGATGTAACAGAGACAGACAAAAAGGCAGAGAAAAGGAAAGATGAGTACTGTGGAAGGGGTCGAATATGACATACAGTGGGGTAATGGTAGTTTGAAGTCAGAAGTCAACTGCCAGTTAATAGACTTGTATGCCGTATGAGTATACGTTGCCCAGGGTGCACCACGTGGAGGTAAGTCTATCGCACACCCACTGTTTAAATAAAGCAAAAGGATATTTCGCTCGGGATATCGATCGGCAGATGAGGTTCCTTTGCCTGATTTTGCCAATACTGTTCGTGTCCTTCATGTAACTCTTTATCGCATTGGGGCACAATTATGGTTAGTTCCCAGAAAATACTGTTAAAGTTACTAAACTTTATCCAACCGTAATGCCAAGAATTGGAGGTTGGTCAAGTTATATTTGTACAAGCGAAATTTCTAATTGAAGAGGGGAGGGGTGTGCAAGGGTTGAGATGGAAAGATTATTGAAAACGAAAAATAAAAGGGAGTATGGGAGCCGTGTGTGTGTGTGTGTGTACTGATCACCTTAAAACCAAAATGCATGGGTCAGTGAAAGTCTGCACGTTGATTTATGCTAACATTCGATTATAACTGATCAGCTCTTATTAATCTCATACTCTAGGTCATTTGCGGATATCAGATCTTGGACTCGCGGTTGAAATTGACCATCACACTGCGTTGAAGGGTCGAGTTGGTACAGCAGGTTACATGGGTATGTGTTCTTTCTTTTTTTGTTTACAAAACTAGGTGCATTATTTAAATGAATGTCTTTATCCCTTGCTTAAATATCGATATCATAAGTTGTATCGAGTTATCTTAATCATACCTACCAACCTCGCAATGCCATCCCAACATTGACTTTGGAAAGTATATTTTTGGGTTAACATGGAAATGGTCCATTTATGACTTATAAGATAGCTCTCTACTGACGCACGGGGTTAAATTTTTCGAGATTATCGGGTTAAAGATGACGAATTCAATATTCAATTTATTAAACGCAGCTTCCGAAATTGACGAATATATTTATATTTATTTCAAATGACAGGCGTTTTGATAGCTATCATTAGCCATTTAGGTGTGGCACAGAAGAGTGATTCACAGATGTTAAAGAGACAGACAGACACAAAGGTAGAGAATAGGTGAGATGAGTACTGTGGAAGGGGCCGAATATGGCATACACTGGGGTGGTGCTAGTTTGAAGTCAAAGTCAACTGCCAGTTAATAGAATTTTTTGCCGTATGAGTGTACGTTGTCCAGGGTGCATCACGTGGAGGTAAGTCTACCACACGCCCCATACTGACAATATAGATTCGACCATTTGTGACCTCGATTGTCGATTTTTGATCCGCAAGTGGAGGAGAGCGTTCTGATCTCCCTTTCAGTGGATCACTTAGCACTGCCATTCTGCACATTTTACACGGTGACTTAAGCAGTTTTAGTATAGGAACCTCTTAAAAAGGCTCAATTGTTGCCCTGGTCAACTTGCGCCTATTCAAACGCAAGAGGAAGGAAAGGGGAGATGAACTCAGTCCAAGCACTCTGACTGCATCATTGGAGGGGTGTGGTGGGGGTGGGGGGTGCTCACCTATCTAAATGAAAACCTTGAAATCCGATCAAATCAATAGGCCTGTGCACGAGAAGTGAAGCTAACGCGTTTTCTAAATTTTTACCTCTGAGCCAACGTTTGTTAACTCCGCTCCACCTTGAAGGTAGAAATAGGTGTCAAACCCTAACAATCCTTTTTCGGTACACATTTTTTTTCGGGAGAATAGAATTAACCATTGGGATGGTTGATCAAATTTGTTTTAGTGGACTACGCTACTGGTGAGCATTAGTATTACAATCTACCATTCCGTAATGCCCCCCAAAGTCGTGCGTATTCGTCTCACTCTCTCTCTCTAAAACTAAATGCGCCTTTAAACGATTCCGCCAGCAATTATTATTGCCATACTATGTGGGCTAAATATCGGAAGAGGGAATAGCTTCTCACAGCTGGGCATGTTCAATGTAGGGCCAATGCTTAACATGTAGTTATGGAGAGTGGGAAGGTGCACTAATTCTATTTACCTTAATTTATAATCGCATTTTGCGTAGTTAAGTCCTCTCTTTCTTCTCTCCCTCCCTCTCTCCCTCACTTAACTAATTGGCAATTAGGAGACAAAAAAAGTAGTTGCCGCCTTTTTGCAATGCGACCTCGCTTTATACTGAGTAGACAATAAAACTGTTCACTCTCCTGAATATATGCCATGTATTGGCGGTTTCATGTAGCAAGGAAGAGAAAATGATGTGAAACTTGGCTTCCATTTTCTTTCTTTTCTAGTTTGAATGTGTGGTGGTTGAGGTTTGCTATCAGAATCTTCCGGTCACTGTCCGATATTCATCAGGCTGTTCTACGTCCTGATAATGCACGCATAATCTAGACTTCCAGCTGGGGTGTGCTGTGGATATAGTTCCTCGGAAGGAGAAATGCAAGGCTTTATGAAAGCACGCGGTTTATTAGCCATTCAGAAGATGGGAACTGTATTCCAGTATGGGAGTTTTTAGCGCAACTAACTACCTTCATTGAATTTTGTGAATGTTGTTCAGACGCTGATGATATTCGATTGCACTTCCTGTCGGGAGGATGCCTGACTTCGACCTGCAATTATTGTTCCATTAAAGGCTTGGGAAGTTAAAATAATTGCCGATGCAGATGAGATAGCCAATTATACATAACGAAAATGATATTACTATTCATGGGTTTAGGGTGATAAACAAATATTTTTTACTAACGGTGAGGGATGCGAACAATTTGCTCCCATTTTCGTTAAATGAACTTCTTTAATCCTATTCATCTTTCTGAGACAGCTCTTTGCATAGGCGTACCACGAGGTTTTCTATTAAATTCAGATTATACGCGAACTCTTCGTCTGATCTTGAGTTCTGTATGACAGTTTTTGATGGTGTTTGCATTGATCCGATCATGTAACGCTCTAGTATTCACTCAACTAACTGTTCTTGACCATTTGGACATCTGTGATTTTTACTTCGAGTCGGTGAAAAGTTATGTATATATATATATATATATATATATACGATCTTAGTTGAAATCCCCAAATCTTACTTTTTGATGCATGACTTAATACATATGAAAGAGAAGCAAAAATAAAAAAATGAAAGGAAGTGACCACTTTGCACGGAAATTAGATTACCTGGTGATATTTGCTTCCTCATTGGCCTACGCGCTGACGTGCTTCCCTCCTAACTGACTGTCTCAGCCTGCTTCCAATTTCTAAGCATCACCGCACCTCGTAGCTTTCAGTATGGATAATAGTCCCACTAAAAAAATCGATATCTCTCATCAAGACTACTATCACAAATTCTGGAAGTTGATTTTGAACTATTCTTCTTGCCTATAGGCAAGTAAGTGATAGGCAAATTATTAAAAAAAGATATATTGGAAGCAATCAAAACAAATAAATTAAAGCGAAATTCCACTTTGTACCATTACACAGTTACCATCAATCTCAATGATCATGCATGCTATGAGTTGGGCAGTTATTTAAGAGTGGTATTTGTTCGATTTAATGAAAATGGGATGGGAAGTGATTCCCAAACAGATTTTTCTTTGGCTTAAGTGAACAACATTTCCCACTTCCTAGTGAGATATTAAATTACCTTTTTTGTACATCTGCAGTGGGAGTGTATATTTGACCTCAGATGTCCGTGACCTTACGCTTACCCTTCGCGTTCAAAGATGTTTTCGAGTATTAACATAAACCAAGCGTAATTATTGCTTCCAGCCTCATGTGCCCAAATCACACCTGTAGGTGACCGAGTGCCGATTCTCGCTCCCGCTTCCTTGTGTGGGTCCACCTAATTTGCTTTTGTAATCGACATTCTCGTTTTTCCCATTTTGTCATTCCTCTCCCATCGAATTCCGATAGCTATTGGGTAATATGACTTAGCCTGCTCTCAGGTTTAGAGCGATGAGTGCCTGTTGTTAATCATAAGCTGTATTCTAGCCCACCTTGTGGGACTAGAGAGTGGTGTGGTTTGTAATGGTGAAACTGCATTTCCGGGCTCGACTAAGGATACCCAGTATTCAATAACGTGATGCAGGAGGTTCAAAGCGCGTGGACTGCACTGATGTATTCTTGATTCGGCTTCCTGACGTTGTTTGGAAGCTACTTTGATGCCAACCTAGTTTGTTATTAAATGCAACGCGTTAGCCGGCGGTTTTGCTATCCTCGCGGTCGATTTGGTGATTATTTCTTTTCTCTGATTTCATTTTAGCCCCAGAAGTCATACGTGGTGAACGGTACACTTTCAGTCCAGATTGGTTTGGCCTGGGTTGTATTGTCTACGAAATGATTATGGGTCAATCTCCATTCCGCAAGCGACGAGAACGTCTGAAACGAGAGGAAATCGATCGACGAGTATGTGAAGACGCCGAGGTCTACAATCAACGATTTGGCGATACAGTTCGAGATTTCACCGCATCTGTAAGTTCTAATAGGCTTTCCCTTCACTTTTGAGATGTGGATGTTGTTAATAAGCTTAATCGAATATTCTCGGCTCACTAGAGCGGAAATTTCTAAATTAGACCGTTTATGCTTATTTGATTATCAATCATTTGATTTATAATTAGTGTATTGATCTATAAGATCATCAAAATAGCCACAATCACTACAATTATTTTCTAACTAGAGAGTCTCTCGTTTAACGAATTGATCTTTTGTAAATTAGATTTGTTGTTATGGAATTAGTCATATCCTTAAAAGAGGCAGTTGGGTGTTAGATCACTAGCACAGTTTCCTACCTTACCACCAACAATGCATGCATAATCTTTGGTTGATTAAAATTGGCTTCAATTTCCTCTTGTCAATATTTGTTGCTGCAACGGTTCCTTATAAGCACTTTCTACTAACCTATCACGGAAACAAGACACGAACTCTGTACCTACTTGGCAAACCCAGTAACCATGCCAACACATATGTTGTATCTAAAGCAGTTAATTTGGATAATGTTTACAACGCATACTATAATGCATAAATACTAATTAGTAGTTAAAAAAAACTCAAGAAATTATGGATATCCCCACTTGTCGGGTGAACTCGTAAGTTTAAGTGGCTAATAGTGTACATTTCACTGAAACACAATAAGCTTCATGTAATAGGTTTTAAGTGGAGATATTGAATCGAATATTGTTTACTATTAGATGGAAGGCGTTTTGATAGTTATCATTAGCCCTTTAGTTGACTTCAGGCTTCACAGAAGGGAAGGATTTAAAGATTTAAAAGAGGCAAACACAAAGGTAGAGAAAAAGGTGAGGTGAGTACTGTGAAGGTAGTCGAACATGACATACAGAGGGGTGATGGTAGTTTGAAGTGAGGAGTCAACTGCCAGTTAATCGACTTTTTTGCTTTATAAGTATACGTTGCCCAGGGTGAGCCATGTGGAGGTAAGTCTATCGCACACCCCGTGAATTGAATATGCTTATGACTGCAATAATCAAATCTGCAAATGGAACCGCAGTTTTAAAACTATCTTCTTACTACCTATTGTCAATCGGTTAAACGACTTTTCCAGAAATGTATTCACTACCAGTATATAATAAGCAAGAATTTCCTTCACAAAGAAATATCGTGACACGAATAGAATTTAGTCACATGCTAATGTTTTTGGTTTTTCCCTCATTTTTGGGTAAATGTTCTCTAATTTCTGCTGTGCTAATTTCTGAAAACTCCCATATTTGTTCTCTGTAGCTACTGCAGAAAGATAAGTCCAAACGACTTGGCTGTGATGAACGTGGTGCATTGGCAGTGAAGGCTCATCCGTGGTTTCATGGCATGAATTGGAAGCGACTGGAAGCTGGTCTTATTGAACCCCCATTTACACCTGATGTAAGCGACTCATTGATCGTCAATTTGCTCTCTCTGTGGATTGCCGTTCTTATTCTTTTTTTGCTTTTCAGCCCCATGCTGTCTACGCCAAGGATGTTCTTGATATTGAGCAGTTCTCCACGGTTAAGGGCGTCAAGATTGAGGCAGAGGACATCAATTTCTACAGGAAATTCTGCTCCGGTGCTGTCTCTATACCTTGGCAACAGGAGGTTGGTTTATCTGCCTTTCGATATTGCATACAATCCGAAATATTTTTTTCGTGTATGGCAGGTCAGTTTGAATGTCGGCTAATTCATTATTTAGTTCTCCATGAGATATGCATTGAACGAATTAGTCTTTGCTATACAACAGCTCACGTGTAAAAGTAGCTTTCGTAGGATCGCTTTGCTTACTCAAGCGTTGCGAGGAAAAAATAATGAATTGTAAATCCAGGTCATCACCCTCCCGTCTCTCTTCACATTTCTTGATTAGAAACCAGAGAATCTGCAACGAACAATGTGGATGTGTGGTTTGGCTGTAATCCTGGGAGTGGATCGGGTACTTTAATTTTTGGGTTATGTATTACCCATTTCATTGCAATATTTAACCCACAAAATTAAAAGTCAAATGGGGGTAGAGTTCTGATGCCTTTTCATTGGTCTCAGTAACTTTTTGATCGCTTCCCCTACTCCCGCCCTACTTTGGACTTTCTGCTATTCGATTTCAGTCTTTCTCACAAAAGTAGTAACAAAAATGGCGTCCATTTTTGGGAAGAGAAACTTAAAGAGCACGAGATGAGGGTACCACCTTTTGCAATATTTATTTATCTCAAATGGCATGGCGTTTTGATAGTTATCATTAGCCCTTTAGTTGACTTCAGGCTTCACAGAGAGGAGGAGGGACATCAAAGTAACATAAAGTCGAGATGGAAAAGAGATAAGAAGACAGTCACGAAGGCAGAAAAAAGGTGAGGTGAGTACTGTGAAAGTAGTGAAATATGACACAGTGGAGGGATGGTAGTTTGAAGTGAGAAGTCAACTGCCAGTAAATAGACTCTTTTGCCGTATGAGTATACATTGTCCAGGGTGCACCATGTGGAGGTGAGTCTATCGCACACCCCCCTTTTCGCAATATCAAAACATTTATACCTCAGTAAAGAACATGGAAATGCTAGCGTGTATGCTTCCAGTTGGCCTAGACAAGTTTCGAGCCGGCTTCCAAATTCTCAGCATCAACGCGCTTTGTGATTTATGCTCCCGCCTTTCTAAACGTTCCTATGATTGCTACTTCTTGTTATGACCTTGGTTATAGTAACTTGTCCGCAGCGAGAATATTGATTTCTTTCACCTCACTCCCTTTTGAGCTACCGTTCTCAAATGCCATGAGTTTGAGTCTCACTCCTGCCACAATAACTTTGACTCCACCATCATCTAACGCCCTCACTAGTCACGTCAGCGTAACGGCAGATCACAATGAAATTTGACCTCTTTACAATATATATATATTAAGGCTAAAACCATGAAAAAGTGTAATTCTTGTGGGCATGTCATTCCAGATTAGCTAAGGAAATCGCTTCCTTTTATTTACTAATACCTGAAATGCTTTTTTGGAATCTCTTTTTTGAAGTCTCTTCCATTACGGGTGTTTGGGTTTAGGGGTTTTATGCGCATATCAATGCGGGCTGTACAATGTTTACTAAGGGTCAAAATTTTCACTTTAGATGGGGAAACATTGTTATTGGTTCTTTAGGGGATATCCTTGAAATTGCAACCTCATCTTTAGTGTGTTTACTGTTCGCATCTTCATTACTCCTGAAATTTTCATTTTGTAAATCATGGCGCGATGAAAAGTGACCCCTTAGTTTTTGGGAAAAAGATCAAATCAGCAAATAATAAATGTAACAACCTCTAAGGTCATTCATGACAGGGACATCATGGAGCCCTCCTGGTGAGATACTCGAATTCTGCCACTTTATTAGCCATTTCACTCACTGAATTTCTTCAAGCGCTTGGAAATGCAAACATCACATTGCAAAGTAGCGTCAATCGCAACGGTAAAGCTACTTTGAAAGTTCTAACTAGGGGGCTTTGGAATCCCTTTACAAGAAAGGTCATTTGAAGTCCCCCCACCAGCTACATCGGCCAAAAGAGGAAGATTAGGAGTTCAGCTGGAACATGGTGGAATGGGAAATGAGGGTGGTGGGAGTGGGGTAGTCTATCAGTATTGAGCGAGTGGAATCCGGTTTAAGATAGAGGGTCTATTAGAGTATAATAAATGTAATGAATAGATCCACTTTCTTCTTTTTCGTTGATGTGCAATGGACAAAGATCGCAAACTTTCAAATAGGACGCCCAGGAGCATGAGTCAGTTTGTGTTCTTGGCATGCACTTCTCTACTGATCCTGTATTGATCACGAGGGTTGTTAAGGCCAAGAGAAGTTTCTAATTTTGGGTTAATGAGTAAACCAAGATCGTCTTAATTCACTGCCAGAACTATAGAGGGATGTAGAGGTGATCATTTATAAGCAGATCATTAGATGACAATCCTTTTTTTTTCTAACGTAGATGCTGGAGACAGAGTGTTTTGATGATCTCAACATTTTCTACAACCCCGATGGCACTTTAGTTGCTAATCTAGATGAAAATATGCCACCTTCAAACGAAGATTCCTCCAAATCGCAATGCTGCTTTCCATTCTTTGGGTTTTCCGCTTCCTCCTCACATCACAACAGTCAAAAGAACAACAGGGCAAAGTATGACGCTATTGCGAATCGCAACAACGCAGCCGACATTTCAAATGATTTCACACGTTCACCGACGCAAACTACCTCTCCCGCTTCCTCTGTAACGGGTTTGGTAATAGCTGACCACTTAGAGGGTCTCGCACCTCACTTAGATACAAAAATCCTCTCCAATGACGAATCGGGGAGAGCCCTTCTTGATCTTGCTGTGCTGAGATCTCAAGCTCTCCTCAGTTCCAGTCTTGATGGTCCAATTGGTGGGGGCAAGATCCCTTCGATCTCAAATTCGAACGAGCATTCTCAACAATAAAATGCCCACTTTCCCCGTTATTTCTCGATCTCATTGATATGTACAGAGCTGAACTCCTTTCTCTCTCCCTCTCCCTCTCTCTGTTATCTCGATTTGATTTGTAAAAAAAGTTGATTTTATTGTGTATAGCTCCTCCTTCCCCTTGAGTCTCTTTTGTAAAAATTCCGCATGCGTTCACATGAGTTTTGCTGTGTAGTTATATCTTCCGTTCCAGATTTTTTTATCGCACTTCTCGCAATCAAGCAATTTCGTGCATTTCTTTTTGATCTCGCTTGCATTTTCCTTTTTAACCTCGTGAACTCCTCAATTCCCTGTTTTTTTCCTCCTTCTCCACCTATCATCTGTGTCGAAATCGATCTACTGATTCGCCTTTCGTGCAACGCCTATTTTTTGCAAAAGTTGTGCTAAAACTTCGCCCGGTTGTTGATTAGGGAGGTCACTAAATTAGGATTAAGGTGAATTGCTTCTAATTGGGATAAAATGCTTTAATTGTGAGGGAGGGAGGGGGGGGGAGAGAAAGGGTTGTCTGGAAAGACGTCACTTGTCTGACAAGGTAGAGGAAAATTGTCAAAACCGAATGAAACACTAAACCTGGACAGAGTAAAGTTAACATGGGAATTTCTGTCTGGATATTTTTAGGAAAAGTTCTTGCGGGCCAGATGGGGTAATGTGGAAGGGTATGAGGTGCTAAAGTTGCGTCGGCATCTTGACACGAGTCTCTAAAGTAACGTGGGATTGGCTGAGCAAATCATGTGTGACCACCACGTCGGTCCATACTTTGCGGCTGCATTAGTCTGCGAATTGGCATTCGTGATTCTAATTCTTCAGTGCGAGGGTGTGGGTAAGATCATTGTGTTTATTTGTAATAACTTGGAATCAGTTTTTATGCAGCCCTATTTAAAGTGTTAGTATTATTTCGATTCTGCAGAGAATAGGATGTGGAAAGGTACAGCTTACTTCTCATTATTGTCTGTGGATTAAATTTTACTCAATTCGCATTCATGTAGATAATTGGGGAGCTAATGCGTGCCACTTCATTCACTGGTAATGTCACATCTTCCTTTAACTCGCATAAACTACCTGAAGATAATTAGGCATTATTGACAATCTTTTGCCCTATGAGTACACAGTAAATTAGTACGTGAATGGTTAAATTCCTCTCTCACGTATTATTGAATCGGACATTGTAAACTCGTCCAAGAATTCACTATGTCGAAAATTACCGCCTACAACAAGATCTCGTTCCGATAATTCGAACAGCTGTCATCTTGCGCATGTGCAAAAGGGTTATTATTGAATTTCAGGTATGGTGGCTATAGCCACATGTGGCGTTGCTTCGAAAAAAAATAGACTTGAATCATGAAGTGCTTTGTAATCGATTTCTTTTCAAAACTTGCATATGACCGTATTCATTGCTTGTTCTATCGGATGACATGTTCCGAGAAGAGGATAAAATGTATTCCACTCAGCAGAAAGTCATCTACAGATGTCACGATCATTCAGATTGATCAAAGTGAACGAAAGTTATTTATACTGAAATCTTGCCTGAAGTCCAGTTGACGGAGGCAGAATGTTGTCGAACATTCTTTACTTCAGATCATATACGCGCATGTACTTGTATTCTGAGTTTCTTTGCTACGAATACCCTCTTAGTTATTTCCATTCATTCTGCTCATCTTTTGAATGAAAACTTTTTGTTGTAACATTCTCTCTGACTTCATTTTCGAAGTAGACTGCAGGAATTTTGGTTGATACTCACCGAGTTTTGTCATATCTACTCCACTCTGGATAGAGTGGACGCAAACTGTCATTAGATTAATGTTAGAGAAATTGGTAAAGAGTGAATTTATGCATGGGACACGTATCTAACTTGACGAGAGTTTCATGCCAGCAAAAGCTGTGGTCTCATGTTGATTAGAATGGATGATTGCCCACACGGTCATTAACTTTTATTGTGGAAACAGAAACAATGATCAACACATGGTTTAATTACCAGATTGAGAGGTACTAATGAACCAGAAGCGGATTTTGGAAGCGAAAACTAAAGTTAGATGCTGGCAACAACAAACAACCATTAGCAAATAAATGTTGAACACAACGTGTTGACTGATGCACATTGAAAAAACTACGGAAAGGAATCAAAGGAGTATAATAAGGAAGCAAGCAGGTGGACTATCAGCACGCGCAGAGAGTGCTGAAACTGCCAACGTGCTTAGTCATTAGACACAATCAATATTACTGCATGTTGCATAGAAGCGAAAGCTGATTGGTTGGAAGTTCCTTGCACGCACGTCTGAATGTGATCGATATTCGATCGGTTGCACGTCCGCATTTTCCAGAATATTCTATGAGGAAGAGATACCTTTGGTTAGCCTTGGTAGCGTTGTACACTTTATAGAATTATTCTCCCAGTAATTTAGAAAACAAGAAAACCCTCTAGGGACCTTGAGGTCACCACAGGATTAAGTGTCAGTGTGAGGTCGAGCTGTTTCGATTTCAGAGATTAGCGATGGCCAGGATAACAATTTTGGGAACGCATTTGATTCAGGTTTCAGATGCTACTAGTGGTGTTCAAAGGTTTCGGCATTACTGCCAATTTCAGGCCTATGATGAAGGAAGCGTGGTTCAAATAGACA